CCAGTCTAACCCCCTCATTTTACAGATGAAGAAACTGAGGGCCAGAGTGGTCAAGTATTAGAGGTAGCATTTGAATACATGTCCTTGGATTCCAGAGCCCATACCACACAGCCTTCCTGTGATTATGGGTTGGTTCAGGAAGCGGGGCAGATAGGGGGAGGATAGTGAATTAGCAAATACCAGCCTAAGCCCTACCAGTTTTTGCCCCAGGTACATCACTAGTAGATAGGGGTTTCCAGACTTGTTGATCCCCAAGTGGCCCAATAAAACCACTTGCCTCTCTCCTCCTCACATTCTCCCTGCTATTAGGTTCTGGAATCTCAGAATTGAAGGTTATTTTATCTGGTGTAGTCCTGGAGGATTACTTGGACATCAAGAACTTTGGGGCTAAAGTGGTGGGCCTCACCTGCACCCTGGCATCTGGCAGCACCATCTTTCTTGGAAAAGTGGTATGTGCCCTGAGGGTAGGGATGGACAGGAGGGCAGGGAACAGTTTATATGACTCTGGGATGATAGTGGGGCTGCCTGACATGAGAGGCGTGCCTGCCTGGCTGTGTTCATCCACCCCTTCTTCCTCCCAGGGCCCCTTCATACATATTAGCTGCATGCTTGCTGCCTACCTGGGCAAGGTTCGAGTTTCAGCCCTTGGAGAATATGAGGTAAGGTTTGGGGCTTTGGGTGGTTCAATGCTCATCTTCTCAGGGGTTTGGCTGTCTGATCGAGAAATCCCTGGGCTCTGACTGAAGAGTCTGGGAAAAATTGGGAAAGTGGGATATCACAGGTAAATTACTGGATCATAATACTCTGAGTTCTTGCCCAGCTTCGATGTTCTATGTTCTAAGTGTCCTCCCAGCTTTGACATTCTGTGTCCTAAGGGCCCTCCCAGCTCTGACAATCTGTGTTCTAAGAGTTCTCCCAGCTCTGACATTGTATTCTAAGGGCCCTCTCAGCTCTGACATTCTGTGTTCTTCCAAGGTTTCTTCCTGCCTGGATATTCAACATTCTAAAGTCCCTTTTGTTGTTATTGTTCAGTTGTTGAGTTGTGTCTTATTATTTGTGACCCCACATCAGGCCCTTCTCTCATCCACTGTCTCCCAAATTCCATCCAAATTTGTGGTCATTGCTTCCATGACACTATCTATCCATTTCACCTTCTGCCATCCCCTTTTGCTTTTGCTTTCAATCTTTCCCAACATCAGGGTATTTTCAATGAGTCCCCTTCTCATTAGGTGGCCAAAGTATTTCAGCTTCAGCTTCAGTATAAATGTCCCTTTTAGCTCTGGTTTTAAATGAGTCTTGCAACCAAGGTGGGGGACATTCAGACCTGGGGGATGTTTGGAAGCGAAAAAAGTGCCAGGATCACCAGGGCTCATGGTCTGTCTTTCTTCTCAGAACAAGATCAAGCAGAATGAGCTGTTGGTGGCTGGAGCAGCAGTGGGTGTGGCCACTGTCTTTGGGGCACCCATCAGTGGTGAGACCTGGAAGGGGGGAGGGGAAGAACAGAGCTCCCCCATGCCCCAGCCCTGGGACCTTGCCATCGAGTTTTTACTTCCTTACTCCAGACTCCTTCCTCTCCAACATCCATGGGCTCC